ATTTCATTTTTCAAATTCTCAAGAGTTTTGGCGGGAAATTGACCGGCGGCGGTTTGCTCCTCCTGTATTATTGTTTAAATAATGGTTTGAAGTGAACTTTGATATGTAAACATGGTGCGATTTTGTGTATTAAGTGTCTACGCATGTGAACTATTAGTGGAAATAGTGAAACAAGTGCTCTGATGGTGATGGATTCTCAAGATAAGCTGTTTGTTTGCATAGGCGCCTTTAGATACCATCACCAACTGTCAGCTGTCTGCTGGATCAAGTTGCCATCAAAATCTCCCAAGAACTGCACAATGTGACGCATCAACATATTGTGAAGCAGTGAACTATGAAGGATAATTACAAAAGACAAGGCTGTATGGCATAGTTCCTTTGCCTGCTCTCTCGAGCGAGTAATAAAAACAACAACAACAACAACATCAAATTCTCATATTAAGCAAAATTTTTGGTTTGATATCATAATATAAACTTTCAAGAATACATAAATCGCTAAAGCATGAGAAATAACATACTAATGATAGTTTTCCTATTCTAGCTAGGACGTGCCTAATTGTAGGAAACCAACCAGACTAACTGCTAATACCACGGTTTAAAAGCGACCGCAACGTCTCACAAAACCAATTAACGTGAGTTTATCCGCAAAAAGGAAGTGTATGGAATATATTAGATAAATGGCGCGCTGGGAGTTTCCGTTGAATATGCAATAAATTCGATTTCTCAAAATGACACTGGCATTTAATACGATGTAAACGATTGATAATACCATATGGAAAAAGCATCAATTTGATGGAAGATTATGATATTATAATTTACATAGAACTGCTAGATAATATACTGGATGTCCCAAAAATAGCACGTCAGTGCGACATGGAAGATAGGGGTTAGCCTTAGATCTTGCAGATAAAAAAAATACCTTAGTAAAAAGTTTTTAGTTTTCGAGATATCGTCCATTATTTTATTTTCTCATAAATCTCTACTTTAAGTTGCTAAGTTGTTTAACAGTGTTTCTGCTGTTCTCGTTAGAAATACCTTGAAATTTTTTGGTTTTTATATATTTTTTTTATTTCTCTAACAGTTGTCCCATGCGTTGAAAGTAAATTTGCCCAAAAATCTTGTGTATTTTTTAAGAAAAACTGTTACTTTTTACCTTTGAAAAAATTGCACTTCCAACTTTGATGATCTACCGTGAAAAAAATGTACTGACGTAAACTGACAAATAATTTATACTAACTTCAAGGCGAAAGTGAAATTAGAAAAGCAAAGCCAAAGAATTTTTCATACAGAAAGGTGTCCGCCAATGAGACACAATCTCACCAAAACTGTTTATAACTAGCTGTACTTGATTACATTTTCAGAAAACCGAAGTGGAGCAACGAAGGCATAAATATTAATGGAGAGTACTCGTACCTGTCAAACCTTCGTTTTGCGGACGATATTGTACTCATCTCTGAGAATCAAGAACAGTTACAAAAATGATTTATGACCTAAATGCCGAAAGTTCAAAATGTGACTTAATAATTAATCTAGATAAAACAAAAATCATGAATAATGGGGAATAAATTTCAAGCTTAATACTCCCAACAACTACCGGCATTGGTGTGAGATAGACATTACACATGATCATTATCCGTTAAGAGGCACTATTGAGTTCATTGAGATGATTCTGCCATAAGAACTATGTCGTCGGCAAATCGAAGGTGAGTGATGTAGGTACTCACCTTCAATTTGCCGATGAATGGTCAATTAAGAATTAACCGCGCTAGTAGGTTTAAACCTGATAATTTTTAATCATTTCACAATTATTTCTCATATTTCAAAACTATTTCTGAACGAGCCTTTTGATTATAATCGCGTAACATTTTCAAAAAAATAAAATCTAAAATTTGTCTTTTAACCTGTCTTATTTTCTCACCAATCTTTTAAAACACATTGGGTGACAACAGTTTCAAATATTACTCTAGTAGTTCAACTAGTTCTCGTATTGCACTACTAATCACCAGTTTATGTAATTTAGGTGCAACGTTTTAAAAATATACGTAATCCTCCTTCCAGTTCAAATCAAAGCCAACATTAACTATATATTGCAACTGTTCAATCATCTCTAACATTGTGGTTCTCATCTCTAAACCAACCAGAAAATATTTCCTTAACGTGAAAATGCGCTGGAAATTTATGGTCTACATCATGGAGATCATTACTCTTGACCACCTTGAAATACCGTCGTGATTAGAATCACTAAGTAGCACATAAACCACGACGAGTTTGTAGTGTGTATTTATTATACGACAATTAAGCGAAATTTACGCGCCAAACACTATTAAATTTGCAAGCTTCTTCAAAACCTTGGACTACAATAAATTTCTAATGCCCAAAGCATTACTTACATTGAAATATCAGCCATGATAGCGTAGCGAGTGGACGCAAATCTTATGGCCAGCGTAAACCTGCAGGTGGCAAGTCGCGATATGTCCAACAACAAATGGTATAGCCCGGAGCTATCAGTTTTTAATCGTGGCCGCAGTAAGGAAGCCGTCTTGAGCACTTAGATGCCTTGCCCGATGATTGCAAGCGCTCTAGGGCATCGCGGCTAATTATTTGGACGCGATAAGACAACTGATGGATGGCGCCCATTAGCTGCCTACGGTGTTGTAGTGCGACTTAGTAACACCTTTGTAATGAGCGCTCAAAGAGAAAATATTTGAACAATTATAAAAATTGATATAATTACTACGTTTGGAAACGGTAGTATTAATAATTCATTACATGTGATTAAGGCAGACGTTGCTACCGTGCTTTCGACTTTTTAATTAGTCATCATTTTGTATATCCGCTTATAACTCGCTCGCTAACTGTACATTATAGCATATTATAAAATTATAAAGGCAAAAGTATCAGCACTATCTGATCCACTCACTCCAAACTTATTCGATGAGACGTTTATCAAGATATGAGTATTTACAATAAAGGGTAAGTAAGTTAGATTGCCGTTTCGAAGGCAATGGTTATTCATGATACAACCAGACATGAAACAGACAATTATATTTTGAAGAAATTACTGAGTATTCAAACCCTGTACTCATTTTGAATGGTTTTTATTACATAATGGAATAGATTTTTTTTATTTAATATAGATTACAAGTTTTTTTTTACATTACAAGTTTTTACTCTTACCATTGATTCGGAGAAAATCTCTGTCCTGGGAAGAACCAGTATAATAGTAAATATAGTTATAATAAGTGGTGCTATTTTTAGATCACACACACAGACACAATCGTGTAAAGATTAGTAAAGTATTCATAGTACTAGGAAACTAAACCTAGTTCTTGAATTGCGACTTTGTCATTACTTATGAACTTTATAAGGAAAATTCTGCATGTGCACTTTCGCCATTTGCAATAAGGGATTAGCTTCGGCCTCCAGTATTTGGTCAATGACAGTAAACGTAGAGACTTTATTTTTTGGCAAGCCAAATATCAATATACAGGTCAATATTATACCATTTACGTATATAACTCCAAAATAATAATGGTGTATTCAAAATGTTGTGCAAATATAAGTACTTAAGTTTCAACTATGTATCCCATACAAACCCGTGGAAACTCAAGTGTTCCTACTCTTTTAGGAGGTACGTCCTTGTTAATTCACCCAGGCTTAGACTTAAGCATATATGAGTTAATTAATATGTCTATTATAATGTCAATTTAATAAATTACTAATTTACTACTATTCATAATAATAATGTCCTCCAGACCAAAAAGAGAGATGTATAGAGATAATAATTAATACTCAATATAAGTAAGAGATAATGAACGAGTAATAAGTAAGGTCGATAATAATTTATTTAAGCTGAATGAACCCTAACTTAAGTATTGCATGGTTGGACTTGGATTAAATTTCATTAATTACTGCTTACCAATGACATCGTATCACGCAGCCATTTTCTTTTTTGTAACTAGAATATTTTTTCTGTAATTTCAGTGGTAGTCAATTACAGCGAATCATGTTTGTTAGAAATTATGTACGTTTGCGAAAATTTGTGACGTATCTAATCTGATATAATAATACAATAACCAACTAAATACAAGAAAGATCACCGATGTGTTGTTACCACTGAGGACTAAGATGGAATGCCTCACAAGCTGTAATTATACTTGTTCTCTTACCAATCACCGAATCACAGAAATGAGTATGCAAAAAAGACTCCTAAGTAAAGTACCACTAGACCGCAGATTATATAGGACAAACCTTTAACCGGCAGCTTCGCTCGTGAGGGTATTAGGGAATAATTATAAAAAAATAGTTCAGAAGTAGCAGAAATTTCTCTCTGACGCCAATTCATTAAATCCAATTTTGAACCTTTGAAACACGCGGATATGCTATACCTGAACGATGCCAGGGTTATTTGCACTCTACCTATAATGTTACTGTGAATGTATGTTATCTTTAATGTATTTATCAATTAATTGTAATTATTAATAAAAAAGAACATGACAAATTGACTCGAGAGAGTTCCAATTCAATCTCTTTGTGGGAATAATAAGGATCCATGAAACTCATTTTACATGCATTAGCCATAAATTTAACAGTAGAAGAAAGAAGAAAAAAAGAAATTTGTTTCCCTAATCCACACTGCAACTATATTATGGCAAAATAGCACCTCAATGCTGCAGTGTTTCCTATTGTGAGTATAGAAAACCGTAGACCTAAGGAGTGATAATGCATCTGCATTTGGTTCTTTATTTTCGACAGAAGTAGATGTCAGTGGGCCATCTTCCATTTACCGTCAGGTTAACTGTGTGCTCGCTGGTCACCCTTATTCTATAAAATAAAAATAAATAAATAATTTTCCTTCAGTTTTTTTAGTTTAATATAGTTTAGTTAATACTTGTTACCACTTTCAATTTCCGGCCCCGCAACGTCAATGGCTATCCTCTCCCATGGTGCACCAACATTGTACAATTTCAATGCGCCTCTACTACGAATTTGAGGTCCCTTTACAGCCGCACATCGTCACGACAGTGGACCCAGTAAAACCGTTCTCGGATCTTCAGTAGAGTTCGTTTAACTCCCAAGTGGCCTACTGAACAACCACTATGGTACAGCTGTAGAACATCCGGTACTTTAGCTTTAGGGACAACCATTTGCAAATGACAACTGTCTCCCCGACCATTTTCCCATTTACGGCACAGGACTCCATCCTGAATCAGCAAGCTGTCCCATTGGGCCCAATAGCTTTTCGTGGTCGAACTCATCGCTGAGACGTCGCTCCACTTGGGCTTAGAAGCACTGGCCTTCACCCATTCCAGAATCGGCTTAATGTCCGAATCTTCCTGCTGTGCATGTTGTAGGCTGTCCTTCCACTCATTGCTGAGCTGGTCTGTCCTGAGCATCCTCACAGATACCACTTCCTTACCCTCTTGTCTAGCACAATACTTGCAATCTTCAGGGCAAGGTCTTCTTGGCCATGCGTCCGCATTGCCATGAGATTTACCGCTGCGATGTTAGATTACAAAGTCGTATTCCTGCTATAGTTCAATCCATCTCGCAACTTGTCCTTCCGGATTTTGGAACTGCAATAGCCATTTCAGTGCAGCATGGTCAGTTAGTAAGTGGAATTTCCACCCCAGAAGATATTTGCTAAAATCCTGCAAGGACTTTACCACAGCAAGCAATTCCCGTCTTGTGACACAATAGTTCCTTTCCGGCTTTGACAACGACTTGCTGAAGTACGCTATCACAATCTCTTGATCCCCATTCCGTTGAGACAACACACCGCCAAGTCCTATATCACTTGCGTCTGTGTCGACTATGAATTCCTTGCCCGCATCAGGGTACCCCAAAATAGATGTTTTGCATAGACGGTTCTTGAGCTCCTGGAATGCAATATCGCAACTTTCATCCCAGCAGAAATGTCGCTTCTCCTCGGTTAGCTTGTGCAGAGGTTTGGCTATATCTGCAAAGTTCTTCACAAATCGCCGATAAAAACAGCACAAACCCAAAAATGTCTTGTGTCTTGTCTTTTGGAACCGGCCACTCCTTAACAGCGGCAATTTTCTCTGGATCCGTGCGGATACCTTCTTCCGACACTACATACCCCAAAAAGCTAACTTGCTGTTTGAATAGTGAGCACTTCTTCGGACTCAACTTGAGGTTGGCACTCTGGATCTTCATGAGCACGCGTTCCAGGTTTTGAAGGTCTTCCTCAAACGTACGGCCTACAATGATGATGTCATCCAAGTAGACCAGACAGGCATCTCCAATTAGCCCGGTAAGTACAAACTCCATCAACGTTTCAAACGTTGCTGGAGCATTGCACAATCCAAATGGCATGACTTTAAATCGCCACAGACCCTTTCCTGTGGAGAATGCAGTTTTCTCCTTGTCCTTAGGGTCAATTTCAACCTGCCAGTAGCCACTTTTCAGGTCCAGCGTACTAAACCACTTTACCCCTGTAAGCATGTCCAGTGTGTCATCAATTCTTGGCAAGGGATAGCTGTCCTTCTTCGTAACGTCGTTCAGGCGGCGGTAGTCAACACAAAACCGCATGCTGCCGTCCTTCTTCTTTACCAGCACCACAGGTGAACACTATGGACTAGATGAAGGTTCAATAACACCATCCTTCACCATTCCCTCAATCATGGTTTCCACTTCCTTTTCACGTGCTACAGGCAATCTTCTTGGCCGCTGACGAATAGGCAATTCTTGTCCTGTGTTTATTTTGTGTTGAACTAAGCCAGTCTTTCCTATGTCAGCTTCGTTTGACGAGAAAACATTGGCGTACTTGAGTAACAACTTCTTCGCCTTGACCATTTCATTCGGGGAGAGAATGCTGCGAGAGGTTTCTAAAAGTGTGGTCACTCTCGTTTGTCCATCCTTGCTAGGGGTCCCAGTCGATAGATATTCGCACCGACGCAACCAATCCACTTCCTCACTAGTACCAACCAATGTGCCTTTTTCTATAATCTGTTCCTGATCACAAAGGTTCAACACACGTACTCCTGAGATGTCGGTGGTTCTGACCAAGGTTCGAGCCACTTTCCATGGAAGGTCATTGTCTAGCCTTTCCACGAGTACCCAACGATGAGCTTGCCCAGGATTCCGAGGAAGACTAACCGGCACAATCGTTTCCGATCTCGGCGGAAAAACAATCTTCTTAAGGGGCGTTACCAGGGAATGTGCAGCCGTACACATTCCCTGGTAACGCCCCTTTCACGAAAAGTTCCTCTTGTCCACATTTCAAAACACCTTGCTTAACATCGATAATTCTTCCTCATAAAGTCTAGGCCCAAGATGCAGTCGTCCATTATATCAGCCGCGATGACATTATGCAGGTAGATCATGTTGCCTAGCTTTAACTCCATCTCCTTCTCTCCACGGATGGGTATGCGCTGACCAGTGGCTGTCACCAAATTAATGCGTTCTCGGTTGTATGCGGAGTCCCCAAGGAACCGACTTATAAGTTGGGAACTGACAACCGTGCGAGAGGCTCCAGTGTCAATGGTCAGTTTACACGGCGTTCCGTTGACTTCGCCCTTGATGATTAGGCTGTTCCCATCATGGGTTTGTGAGATCGAAATCCTTGGGGCTCTTTTAACATCAGCCAGCACCCGCCCCGCAGTCCTGGCTTTTATTCGTTTCCCTGCTGCTGCTGGGCGGTGCTATTAGCCGCACTACCCTCTCGAGATCGATAACCTTCCCTTTCTACAGTTCGCTTAGGGCAGCTGGATCGATGATGGCCCCTTTCCCCACAGCCGTAGCACCTAGGGCTGTAGCCGTTATTGCGGTCCCGAACTGTAGCTGCTGCAACCTCCCTGACGCGGTGGGGACGATGATCCTGCCGCACTGCTTCCACCTCCAGTGCATGGGTCAAGGCATCCTTAAGCGTCTCATGGTGCCCGAGCCTCACAGCAGCTCTGACTTCAAGGTCGCGGATGCCGTCGATGAATGTCTGCACCAGGTACCGACTGGTACGCTTTTCGAACCAGCTTCTCCACCTCAAGGGCCCACTGCTGCAGGTTTTCGTTACTGCGTTACACGCGATCTTTGAGCTGCGCACGAAAGATGTGTTCCAGGTGAGCATCGCCATATCTCGCCTCCAATGCCTCAAGGAGCTGCTCGTAAGTCACTTCTTTACCGAGAGCTTCCAGAACAGTTAAGGCCTGGTCGCGCAGGCCTAGGGTGAGAGCAGTCATAGCCTGACCTTTATTCCAGCCGTTCGCTTTCATGACAGCCTCGAACTGGATTTTGTAGGCCGATCAGGAAGAAGTCCCCTCGAACGGTGGCACTTTGAATCCACGTAGCGAAGGTGTTGTAGCTACCACGGGAGCTGTAACTCCATTCCCAATTTTGAGGTCGTCCAGCGTTTTCTTCACGTCAACCATCACGTTGTCAACCCGATTGTTCACTTGATCGATTCGGGTATCAGCTTCCGGCAGGCGGTTGTCATGTTGAGCAACCCTATCCTTCACCTCCTTTATCTCTTTCCCGAAGGTAGCGTGAAGTTCCTTCATGAGGAGCATCTGCACTTCCTTATCGCGTTTGAGCTGATTTTCCAAGCAACGGGCCTGTTCCTCCTGTCCGCGCTGCAGCTGCTCCTACAACCGACGGAACTGTTCCTCCTGTCCGCGCTGCAGCTGCTCTTCCAAACGACGGGCCTGTTCCTCCTGTCGGATCGGAATTGACAACGTAATGGCTGACGTGAAGAAAACGCTGGACGACCTCAAACTTGGGGATGGAGTTACTGCTCCCGTGGTAGCTACAACACCTTCGACACGTGGATTCGTGCCGCCGTTCAACGGGACTTCTTCCTGGTCGGCCTATAAAGACTGCTCTCACCCTAAGCCTGCGCGACCAGGCCTTAACTGTTCGGGAAGCTCTCGGTAAGGAAGTGACTTACGAGCAGCTCCTTGAGACATTGGAGGCGAGATACGGCGATGCTCACCTGGAACACGTCTTTCGTGCACAGCTCAAAGATCGCATGCAACGCAGTAACGAAAACCTGCAGCAGTGGGCCCTTGAGGTGGAGAAGCTGGTTCGAAAAGCGTACCAGTCGATGCCAGCGATCGTTGTAGGGAACCTGGTGCAGACATTCATCGACGGCATCCGCGACCTTGAAGTCAGAGCTGCTGTGAGGCTCGGGCACCACGAGACGCTTAAGGACGCCTTGACCCATGCACTGGAGCTGGAATCCGTGCGGCAGGATCATCGTTCCCATCGCGTCAGGTAGGTTGCAGCAGCTACAGTTCGGGACCGCAATAACGGCTACAGCCCTAGATGCTACGGCTGTGGGGAAAGGGGCCATCTTCGATCCAGCTGCCCTAAGCAAACTGTAGAAAGGGAATGTGATCGATCTCGAGAGGGTAGTGCGGCTAATAGCACCGCCCAGCAGCAGCAGGGAAACTGGCGGGTGCTGGCTGATGTTAAAAGAGCCCCAAGGATTTCGATTTCACAAACCCGTGATGGGAACAGCCTGATCATCATGGGCGAGGTCAACGGAACACCATGTAAACTGACCATAGACACTGGACCCTCGCACGGTTGTCAGTTCACAACTTATAAGTCAGTTCCTTGGGGACTCCGCATACAACCGCGAACGCATTAATTTGGTGACGGCCACCGGTCAGCGCATACCAGTTCGTGGAGAGAAGGAGATGGAGTTGAAGCTAGGCAACATGATCTACCTGCATAATGTCATCGTGGCTGATATAATGGACGACTGCATCCTAGGCCTAGACTTTATGAGGAAGAATTGTTGTGAGATCGACGTTAAGCAAGGTGTTTTGAAATGTGGACAAGAAGAACTTTTCGTGGAAGGGGCGTTACCAGGGAATGTGTACAGCCTTAAGAAGATTGTTCTTCCGCCGAGATCGGAAACGATTGTGCCGGTTAGTCTTTCTCGGAGTCCTGGGCAAGCTCATCGTTGTGTACTCGTGGAAAGGGTAGACAATGACCTTTCATGGAAAGTGGCTCGAAACTTGGTCAGAACCACCGACATCTCAGGAGTACGTGTGTTGAACCTTTGTGATCAGGAACAGATTATAGAAAAAGGCACATTGGTTGGTACTAGTGAGGAAGTGGATTGGTTGCGTCGGTGCGAATATCTATCGACTGGGACCCCCAGCAAGGATGGACAAACGAGAGTGACCACACTTTTAGAAGACTGTCGCAGCGTTCTCTCCCCGAATGAAATGATCAAGGCGAAGAAGTTGTTACTCAAGTACGCCAATGTTTTCTCGTCAAACGAAGCTGACATAGGAAAGACTGGCTTAGTTCAACACAAAATAAACACAGGACAAGAATTGCCTATTCGTCAGCGGCCAAGAAGATTGCCTGTAGCACGTGAAAAGGAAGTGGAAACCATGATTGAGGGAATGGTGAAGGATGGTGTTATTGAACCTTCATCTAGTCCATAGTGTTCACCTGTGGTGCTGGTAAAGAAGAAGGACGGCAGCATGCGGTTTTGTGTTGAATACCGCCGCCTGAACGACATTACGAAGAAGGACAGCTATCCCTTGCCTAGAATTGATGACACGCTGGACATGCTCACAGGCGTAAAGTGGTTTAGTACGTTGGACCTGAAAAGTAGCTACTGGCAGGTTGAAATTGACCCTAAGGACAAGGAGAAAACTGCATTCTCCACAGGAAAGGGTCTGTGGCAATTTAATGTCATGTCGTTTGGATTGTGCAATGATCCAGCAATGTTTGAAAGATTGATGGAGCTTGTACTTACCGGGCTAATTGGAGATGCCTGTCTGGTCTATTTGGATGACATCATCATCGTAGGCCGTACGTTTGAGGAACACCTTCAAAACCTGGAACGCGTGCTCATGAAGATCCAGAGTGCCAACCTCAAGTTGAGTCCGAAGAAGTGCTCACTATCCAAACGGCAAGTTAGCTTTTTGGGGTATGTAGTGTCGGAAGAAGGTATCCGCACGGATCCAGAGAAAATTGCCGCTGTCAAAGATTGGCCGGTTCCAAAAGACAAGACACAGGTTAGAGCATTTTTGGGTTTGTGCTCTTATTATCGGCGATTTGTGAAGAACTTTGCAGATATAGCCAAACCTCTGCACAGGCTAACCGAGGAGAAGCGACATTTCTGCTGGGATGAAAGTTGCGATATTGCATTCCAGGAGCTCAAGAACCGTCTGTACATAACACCTATTTTAGGGTACCCTGATGCGGGCAAGGAATTCATAGTTGACACAGACGCAAGTGATATAGGACTTGGCGGTGTGTTGTCTCAACGGAATTGTGATCAAGAGGTTGTGATAGCGTACTTCAGCAAGTCGTTGTCAAAGCCGGAAAGGAACTATTGTGTCACAAGACGGGAATTGCTTGCTGTGGTAAAGTCCTTGCAGCATTTTAGCAAATATCTTCTGGGGCGGAAATTCCACTTACGAACCGACCATGCTGCATTGAAATGGCTATTGCAGTTCAAAAATCCGGAAGGACAAGTTGCGAGATGGATTGAACTACTGCAGGAATACAACTTTGTGATCGAATATCGCAGCGGGAAATCTCATGGCAATGCAGATGCATTGTCAAGA